AGCCTCATCCAAATGTGAAGCCAATGCAATATGCAAGTCCTCTGTTTGGCTTACTCTCATAGCCTATATCAACTGGTACATTGTGTATTATTATTGTTGTTATTATTATTGGTGTTAATATCGTTGTTGTAAATAGTGTCATTATTTCATTCCATTTAATATTTCAGTAATAACTTCGCACTGTCGGAATAGAATAGAACTTGTAGCTATTCATGTAGTTGCTTTGTGTGCCTTTGTCAAAGTGTGCTTGTATATCATGTACCTGACTATGTGTACTATGTTATAGCAAAATAGTGCAGCGTAAGTTTACTACGTTTTATGTTATGACAATCAAATTTACCATCATACATTCTAGTATTGTTATTTGTCATTATGATGTGAGCAACTTTAAAATTTATTTAAAAATTAATTTTTGATAGGAATCAGCTTTAAGTTGCTACACATCATTAGACCATGTATATGTAGTGCATTAGAAAATGTAATGAAAATTGCGAAATTTTTCTTAGCCATTTTCGATGAACTTTAACCAAATTTGTACTCTATACATGGTCTTTTGTACTTAAAAATCTAGTTTTGACGGGAATCAGCTCAAAGTTCCTACATTGTTTTATTGAACTAGCATATATAGCAGATAGGTTCTCTGTATAGACGTGTGTTTGATATGACATGTTTACTCTACTTGTGCATGATTAGCACAACAGTATAGAGTAATGATTGCTTCGATGAGTATGATACACACAGACCTGGTTGTATTGCTATTGTCTTTTGTCAGTTGAACTTGAAGTCATGGCTGAAAATCCTGGACATATTCTCAGCTATTATAACTTGGTAGCTAACTACATAATTGTCATCCCTCTAGCCATTTTACTGGTGGTGTCCATTGTATACAATATACTGGTTGGCTTTTCTACAAAATGGATGTATGCCAATGCGTGGATCAAGGAAGGATATACTCGTGAAAATCCTCCTCCAATGGATTCCTCATACTGGGATGAGCTGTTTATTGTTAACATTAAAATAAGCAACTATTTGCTTGGAAGCACAGTTGCTTTGAGTGAGAGTAAGGATGGTTATTATAAGTTGCTTATTCATGACTATGAGGTCTACATGCCATTGGCCATTGTGTTGATACAGGTCTCAGAGCTTGCTGTCATGATAGTATCTCTGGCTCTATTTTTTGATACTCTTGTTTTGCAGGTGATATTAATTTATGCATGCATATTACCATATTGTGTATAAATCTTTATGCTATTTATTTTCCTGTATAGGTATCTAGTGAGTGCGTGACTGGTGTTGATTGCTTTTACTTCAATGAAACAAACAGTAAAGCATTACCAATTGATTGTGATTCGCCGGATTTTAATAAGACCTTGAAACTGACTTGTTTTCGCATTGTGTTTGATCCCATAGCAGCTGCAGTTTCAGCTGGAGGCTTCCTCAAAGTTGTCCCACAAGTTGCTTTTGCATTGCTTACATTCCAGTACATCAAGTATCTCAACTTAGCAAAGAAGAGGCTTAAGCTTAAAATCAAGCATGGCAGCATTATAGTGCATGCAATGGCTGCTGGTGCTGTGTGTGCAGGTTTCGTTGCTCTTGGTTTAGCTGCATTGCTCTTTGTTATATATAGATTACAGGATGCCCCATCAGCTAATCCAATTGTTGAAATTGTAGTTTATCTCATCTTTCTTATGTATTTTGCAATGGCGGCATTCCTTTGGTATATAATTCCATTTCAATACACAGCTTCTGTCGGTCAAGAGAAGGACTGATGCTTTGTGCCATTTTTTTGATCAGGACTCCTGTTTTGATATAATTATTTTCAAATAAATATTTCATAATTATTTGCATATAAAATTTAATTTTTCAAATAAAAAATAGCATTTGAAATTTTACTTTGTGTTGTTAACATAGCCTGGTAGTAGTCTTGCAAGTCAGACCACTCCCAGCCTACAGTCATTGAGGTGGACAGCGAGGAAGAGTCTGGTACAATGCTTGATGTAGTTTTGTCCTTATATCCAAAATCATACCCATACTGCAGCCAATCAAATTATTTTATTTATTTATTATTTGCTAGCCTCATCCAAATGTGAAGCAAATGACCCAATGCAATATGCAAGCCCACTATTTGGCTTACTCTCATAGCCTACATTAACTAATACATTGTGTAATATTGTTGAATATTGTCATTATTTCATTCCATTTAATACCAGTTTCAGCCTGTGCTGTAGTGTAACTTCTCACTGTCAGAATAGAATAGAACTTGTAGCTATTCATGTAGTTGCTTTGTGTGCCTTTGTGAAGGTGTGCTATAGTAGTAGACTTGCCTATATCATGTATGTGAACTAAGTTATAGCAAAATAGTGCAGCATAACTTTATTATGTTTTATGTTATGACAGCTCCAAGTTACTATGCATCATTACACGATGCCTACAATAGAAAAATTCTCTCCTACTCATTTTTGATGAAATTTGGCCAAAGACCATATACTAGAGTAGTCTTGCTAGCCAGATCATTCTTCAGCCAAATGTCTGTAGGCTAAGGAATGGTCTGGATTGCTACGATGAGTACAATACATACAGACTTGTAGTGGTTGTATTGCTATTGTCTTTTGTCAGTTGAACTTGAAGTCATGGCTGGAGGCCCTGGACGTATTCTTGGCTATTATAACTTGGTAGCTTACTACATATTTGTCATCCCTCTAGCCATTTTACTGGTGGTGTCCATTGTATACAATATACTGGTTGGCTTTTCTGTAAAATGGATGTTTGCCAATGCATGGATTAAGGAAGGTTATACTCGTGATAAGCCTCCTCAAAAAGAATCCTCATTCTGGGATGAGCTGTTCTTTATAAATGCTAAAATAGCTAACTATTTGCTTGGAGGCTCAGCTGTTTTGGATAAGAGTAAGAATGGCTATTACAAGTTGCTTATTCATGACTATGACGTCTACATGCCATTGGCTGCTGTGTTGGTGCAGGTCTCAGAGCTTGCTGTCATGATAGTATGTCTGGCTCTATTTTTTGACCGTCTTGTTTTGCAGGTTATTGCATGTACCAATATGTGTATACATATGACTTTATGCTATTTATTTTCCTGTGTAGGTATCTAGTGAGTGTATGGCTGGTGTTGATTGCTTTTACTTCAATGAAACAAACAGTAGTGCATTGCCAGTTGATTGTGATTCACAAGATTTTAATGAGACCTTGAAACTGACTTGTTTTCGCATTGCATTTTCTCCCATAGCAGCTGCAGTTTCAACCGGAGGCTTCCTTAAAGTTGTCCCACAAGTTACCTTCTCATTACTTACATTCCAGTACATCAAGTGGCTCAACTTAGTAAAGAAGAAGCTTAAGCTTAAAATCAAGCATGGCAGCATTATAGTGCATGTAGTGACTGCTGGTGCTGTGTGTGCATGTTTCATTGCTGTTGGTTTGGCAGCATTGCTCATTGTTATATATAGGTTACTGGCCGCCCCATCAGCTAATCCAATCCTTGAAATTGGACTTTATTTCACTTTTCTAATGTATTTTGCAATGGCAGCATTCCTTTGGTGTATAATTCCACTTCAATACACAGCTTCTGTCGGTCAAGAGAAGGACTGATGCTTTGTGCCATCGTTTTGATAATTATTTTTCATTATTTTTTCATTAATTAAATTTTTCTAATTAAAATTGCACTTTATGGGTGTGACTTTTGCAGCTAGTTAGCTCGTGACTCCTTTCACCTCTTTCTCCCTCAAAACACACAGATCTATCTCAAAATGAACCTCTTCACCAACATCATTCGTCCAGATCTCCTAGGAAAAGCTGAAAATGGTTCTAGCATGGGCTTTGTAGTGAAGGCCAACATTGGGAGTGGGAATCCAACATCAGCAGCAACACCAAGTCTACGGGACTGGACGCCTAAACAAGTTTCCCCTGTAGTGGATAGCCTTTTAAAAGCTGGACACGAAGTTGTTGCCATAGCTAACATGCACGAGGTTGCATTTGGGATCACTTCTGAAAACCCTGCATACGGTGATGTTCACAATCCCTGGAACCCCGACTACATACCTGGAGGGTCTAGTGGTGGCAGTGCTGCAGCCGTTGCAATGAATGCTGTCCCATTTGCTCTTGGAACTGATACTGGTGGGTCTAATAGAATCCCTGCTGCTTTATGTGGGGTAGTGGGCTATCGACCATCAACTGGGCTCTATAGCACTGATGTGGTTGTCCCACTCTCTTCAACCACAGACACTATTGGAATCTTTGCCCAAAGTGTGAAAACTGTCCAGCAAGTTCACAAGATTATAGTGCCCTCGTATGACATTCCAAAATCGCCAACCCAACTAGCTAATAAAAGGATTGGAGTCCCTCGTCTTTATTATTATGAAACACTAGACTCTGAAGTGGCCCGTGTCGTCGAAGCTTCCTTGAAATGCATGAGTGAGGCTGGAATGGAGCTGGTTGAAGTCAATATTGATGTTCTTCAGGATGACTCCATTATTAGTAATTTCTTTGACCTCGTGTTTTATGAGACTTATCACCTAATACCGGAATTCCTTAAGCTTCATGGTGCCCCAGTTGATTATCAGGAGCTTTGTGATAAAATTAGCGATCCTGGAGTGCATGGAGCTCTGACTGCAGGCAGTAACATCTCTGAAGAAAAATACAAAAAGTGCCAAGCTCAAGCCGAAACGATTCGTGAGTCTATAATTCAATATATAAAGGAAAATAATTTGGATGCTTTTGTTGTTCCAACGACTATCTTGCCTGCTATTCCAAGGCTCACTCCAAAGACTGTGACAGTCAATGGGACAGAGCTACCTACCTTGATTGCTTACGTGCATAATGCCTCACCACAAGCAATTGCTGGAGTCCCAAGTATAACCCTACCCTGTGGGCTATCAGATGCAAGACTTCCCATTGGGCTGGAACTTGTAGGACAGAGGAACTGTGACGGAGATTTGCTCAGTTTAGCTGAGGCAGTACAAGCTTTACTGCCACAAATGCCACAACTCTCCTATCAAGATTTTAAAGATAAAAACCTGAAAACAAAAATTTAGTGGGAGTAAATGGATGAAACCTAGTAAACTTGCTTTTTTTTAGACTTTAGTTACAGTTTAAAACTAAGATGCTATTGTAATTATACCTAATTTAATTATGCAGAACCAGCCCCTCCCATAAAAAGGAGGAGCTTTAAACTAAAAATTAATTATCTATAATTTTCAACAATGTCTACTGTCCCCTGGTCAGATGTTGTGCCAAGTTTTACTGTCGGGACTCTAGGCAATAATCTCGGCTATTATTACAAGATAGCATACTGTCTCATAGTAATACCTCTGGGGCTATTGCTACTGATAGCTGTGGGTTGGAACGTGTTGGTAGGCTTCGCAACAAAATGGATGTACAGCAATGCCTGGAAGGAGAAGCAAAAAGGAGGAGGCAGTACTGACTCTGATGACCCGTCTCTCCCCATCACCAATGCATGGGAAGAAATATACGTAGTAAACAATAAGCTAGCCGCTTATCTATTAGGAAGTACTGTCGCTATAAAGGAGCAGCAAGGCTACCTAGTACTACAGATACACGACTATAACGTTTACATGCCATTGGCTATGATATTTATACAAGTATCAGAATTGGCTGTGGCTATGATGATGGTAGTGCTATTTGTGGATTATCTTATTTTACAGGTCAGTGACCTTTGATTGTTACTATTTTAATTACATTCATTGCTAATACAATAAAATTATATAGTGTGCAGTCTTTTCACTGTTTTGCTATGCTTACAACATGTAACTACTTGTTTATCCCATTGAAACTTTAAAGGTCTGTGGTAAGATAGTACCACAATAAGTCCTCACCCAAATGCCCACGTAAAAACATTATTGTCTGCTTTTGTTGACTTTTCTTGTTGCTTTGTGTCTGAAAAGCTTATATCAACTGTTATTAGTAGGACTGTACTTTGAAATGCATGCATGTAATCCTTGAGGTCAGTAAATATTAATTTGGCATTGGTAAGATCACCCACAAACAAAACCAGATTATTATAGAAGTGATATCTTAATTAACATCATGTGTATCTTTTGTTAGGTCTCATATTCCTGTGATGCCAGTCACACTAATGCCGACTGTTTCCTGAGTAATGAAACAGATATGAGTGCCCTACCATTGGACTGTGGCTCACAGGATTTTGCACAAATAAATGTGACGTGTTTCACTCTGAGCTTTAATCCTATAATAGCAGCTGCTGTGACCGGAGGCTTCCTCAAAATCACCCCTCACATACTCTTCTCTGCACTCACTTTCCAATACTTCAAATACATGAACAAAATAAAGTCTAAACTCCGTTATAATTCGACCAAAGGAAATATTGTCATTCACGCTGTGGTTGCCTTCTTCCTAGAGCTGGGTTTCTTAGGGTTTGGACTCATGTGTTTGCTTGTTGTTTTACTCGTACCGTCAGTCCGTGACGTGACTATATCCCAAGCAAACCCAATGCGTCAGTTGACAGTCGTCTTCTGTTTCATAATGTATTTCTCAATGTCTGGATTCCTCTGGTGCATTTACCCTCAGTCCAGCACTCCTGTCCGTTTCCTCAATTCAGTTTGGAAGGCGAAAGTTTCTCCAAGCCACAAGTCCATTAATGAAGGAGAGAGACTTCGTCCATGGATAGTCGTTGATCACTCTCTCTCGACAAGAGAAGATGAGCATCTCCTCAAAGACTGAAAAATGAATTCAATTTGACATTTTGCAATTATTTTGGCTATTAATTAAGTTTGCTGTTGTGTGAATATTTTTTGTTAATTGCTGCCTATAATTAGTCATTTGAGGCCAACTTTGGTTTTGGAAGGCTTTAGATCCACTTAATTTCCTTTTCTTGGATATTATAGGTACAAAATATAAGCATAACAAACTGCACTTCATCCAAGAGTAGCAAATTCCAGTTGGGCCTTGAAGTGAATAGATGAAGCTTTTCCCTATTGCCTTTAACACTAAAGGCAGCAGCCTTGGGTTCTACTACAATGTATCTGGTTACATTTTAATGGTTCCACTGGTTGTCCTAGTACTCTTTTCTGTTGGCTACAATGTCTTGATAGGCTTTGCATCAAAGTGGATGTACAAAAATGCCTTTAAAAGGAAGCTGGATGTTAGTCAGCAACAAAAACCTAGCTCCTACGAGGCCCATCAGCAAGGTTCTCCTCCACCTACAACAATATGGGAAGACTTATATGTAGGAAACATGAAAGTGGTCAGATATTTGTTGGGTGACACAATCGTACTCCAGGAAGGAACGAATGGCTATCTGGAACTTCATATCCATGAGTATGAGGTCCATATGCCACTAGCTATGATATTTTTACAAATATCTCAATTCCTGGCCTTATCAGTAACTATGAGTCTCTTTGTGGAATATCTTGTCGTTCAGGTACGCCATTATACCAGGAATTAAGATGTTGTATAAAATATTATATTTATATTATAGGTTACCTCTACTTGCAAACCTCATATTGATTGCTTTCTAGCAACTGAAAGTGACTGGAATGCTCAGCCCCTGGACTGTGCTCTCTTGGATCATAACACCAGTTTCACCTGCTTTCATTTGAGCCTTGAGCCAGCCATTGCAGTAGCTGTAGCAGGAGGTACTATAAAAGTCATTCCTACCTTATTCTCTATGATGACATATCAATTCATCAAATATGTCTGCAGAGTTAGAAAAATATTGAAATTTAAGAATAACCTTGTTGTTCACATAATAGTAGCTGTGATTGTTGAGGGTTTGTTCATTGGGTTTGGACTGATGGGATTGATTGGAGTCATAAATGCATCTTATGTTCAACAAACTGCTGAGCATTTATTCATGCGGTCAACATCCATTTTTGTTTTTGCTGCATATTTCCTGATATCATTCTTTCTTTGGTGCATATATCCATGTCATGAGAATCCTGTCCGTTTTGTATCAGCTGTTTGGAAGCAGAGATCTTCAGCTGCCATTGGAGTTCCTCAAGAAAGCAAAAGTCAGGCTCCAGCACATGAACTTCAACCTTTAACAAAACAATAATTTTTTCTCTTTACATTTTTGTAGTCAGTTTAGGTCCATCTGTTTCAAAAAATTATTCACTGAACTGTCATTAAGAACTAATTTTCTACTTTAAAGGACAAAAATTTTTATAAGTAATACCTCTTGTGTAAGCCTACACCTTAATCTCTAGTGTGAATCTATGATTTTGTCATTCTGTTATAATTAGAGTGCAAATTAATCCAATGGGTGTGTTTATAGTGCATGGAGACAGGGTAGAAGAGGGAACATAAATGTACTTCCTTACCTTGGACCATTGGCAGTGTATACATATCTGCTAGCAGTACAACCACAATTTGGTACATATTGTTCATCCAGAACCGATACTCTGTGTGTCCAGCATCGGTAGCATGATGCTCCCTAACAAACCCAGCATCATAAAAATAAAATTTAAAAAAATAATAAAAAATAAAATTAAAATTAAAAAAACACAAAAAATAAATTAATAAAAATAATAAATAAAAATTAAAATAAAAAGATTTAAATAATAAAAAATATAAATTGAAATTTGTTTTAATAAACATAAAATAAATAAAAATAAATATCCTGTTATAACAATTGAGTTGTAATAATAATAATGATTAAACAAACTAAGTGAATGTAAACATTGAGGGGGTGAGCATGAGCCATCGATTGACATCTTAAAACTAAGATGAAAATAAATTAATTAATCCAGCTCTTAGTTTATTTTTTAAATTTTTTGTATTATTATAATTAGCACACACACAAAAACTCTTGTTTATTTGCTTTTTGCATTTCATTCTCCATCAGTAGAAGTTGATGCTGATACTTGCAGCAAGAGGTTAGGCCTCTTCTCCATCTCCATGAACTGATCAAACTTGTCCTGAGAATTAATACAGACTACTTCACCAGAGTCGCCCTGTCTGTATGCCATACTGAAATCCTTAATGTTCTGAAAGTTACCTTCCATCTTAACTTTACTTAACAAGGTCTGTAGCGAGACTGGCTTAGGACAGGATATTCTTAGCAACTGGCCTTGGCATCTTCCTTGAATATCAATGTCAAATGTCTCATTTGTAAGAGCATATCTTCCTGCCCTTGAGTGATGGACTGTTGTTGGCTCATCTCCTCCTTGCATTTGCTTTGCATCGACTATATAAGAGAAAGGGCATCCCTCTGTGTGTGTCTTGGAGGTGTCTGGGTTTTCAATAGGCTCCGGTAAGGACCTGAAAGAGGGTTTATCAAGAGGCACGTCCTTACCAGATTCAGATCGAGCATAAGACATCACGGAGGACCTTGGATCAGGTGAGTGATCATTTGGTGCGTAGCTCATCTCAAATGGTTTCAAAGTCTCACGAGTATCATCAATAGGGACACTGGGACTGCTCTCTGATTCATCAGTTGTAGTAGCAGTGAGATCTTTGACAATGTGTGTATCATCTTTGAATTGAAGTTTTTTGATCATCCTAGCCACAGTCTTGTGATTATCAAGATATCCAGGGCTCTCTTTTTCTATTATCTTCATTTGACGTAGTGTTGCTCCACTGTATGCCTCCCACAGTATCATTACTCCAGAGTCATCAAGAGACTGGCTCCTATCCTCTTCAGTTTGAGGGAAGTCATCAAGCGGATATCCCTCCAGCGGTGATTGGAAACCTTTGGCTCCACTCGCCATCATACACTTTTCCTTCTCACAGGGTCCCTCACAGGGTACCACAATGAGGAACCTAAGGTACTGAGTGTAAGGATGGAAGTGCATTATGAGTTCCTGTTCATGAAATAGGAGGATGTGTCCAGTTGCCATCCCAACCCACACCACGTCCAAGGCAGGCGTCATGCAGGTCATAATGGCATCATATGCTGACTTATCTCCAATCCCAATCTGTTTCATTAGTACCTCCCTCACATCAATATTGTACAGATGCTCTTCATTCTGTGTGTCCCAGGCTGATAGT